TTGCTACTCTCTTTACATTCAAACATTTTTTCATTTTAAAAGAATATTTTTTAACTTAATGAGACAATGCCTACAGCGGTCTAAGCTGGATCACGGGTGCTTCTAAATAATTGCGTGTGAATTTATATATTACGTATGTAATTCTTCGATTGTGAGTCGAAATCTTTTCAGACTTGAAACGCAACACTAATAAACTACCGCAGTAATATCACAAGTTAAATCGACTAACAATTTAACGATTTATTGATGCTGTTTTTATGCATTTCATATATCGATCTTAATAATATTAAATAATCTATTAAAAACTATAAATAATTAATTTTTTATTGCAAAAAAGATTATTTCAGTCAGGAGTCGAACCCGGATCTCTGGCATTCCGTACGAGAATCTCGTGCGAGTTATAAGATTTGACATATTTTTCTTTTCTTTTATATTTATTATAATGAATTTATAAAATTTATATCTTTTAAATGGATGTAAATTTAAAGATATACATAGGAATATCTTGCAAATGTCAATTAGTTATATAAGTACTGACGCAAACAGATATATAATAATTATTGTTCACTTGTTTGCGTCAATACTTATATAACTGGTTAACATTAGCAAACATATGTATACCTCTACATTTATATATCCATTTAAACTATTTAAAGGACATAAATTTTATAAATAATTACATTATGACAAATATATATATATTAATTAGGTGACAAAATTAATTAATTTTTTAATAAAAAGAACTTTATATTTAGCTAAAGTAGATCTTAGTGCTTAACTCTTCAGGTCTCACTCCCAAAAAGTCACGCAATAGTTACTCTGGGTTAAAATGACCCGAACCATTTTTAAGTGTTATCAAATCAATAGTATTAGTTCCATTGACTTCAAAAAATTACGCAGTATATAATTTCATCCTTTAAGAAAATTAAACAATTGTTTATTTTTTTTAAAGGATGAAATGTAGTAATAAAAACATTAATTTTGACACTAAAAAAAGTAAACATGTTTATTTTGGAAAATGAATTTTTTTATTTAAAAAAAATTATAACTGTTTAAATTTATAATTTCAAATTTTTGTTTAGTCTAATACCCATGAAATGATTTATTAGGTCTCAGGTCATTTTAATCCACACAGTGACTATGAAAGATTAAATACATATTTCTTGTGCGAATTTATGTAATACATTTTAATTCTGCATATCAGAAATGTTTTTCCAGATTTATTTATGAACAGAACCAGAATAATATTATAATAATGTATAATATATTACTTATAAAATTGTACAAACAATTGAATAATTTTTTGATGTCAATAAATATCTTTATAACAAGAATATTAATTGTCACATGTGATGAAATCTAACAATTGTGTATATATAATTTGTTACAAAAAATATATTACCTTGGTTGGGAATCAAATTCGAATCTTCTGCTTGCTGATTAAGTGTTCCTATATACACTGTTAATGTTAAAAATATGTAGTTTACTTTATGTATACTATGAATTTTTAGTATTGACAATGTATACCAGAACATGGCTACAGTCAATAGTACCTATGTGCCATATACATCTATGTGCCAATAGAATCTCAACCTAGTTATCCCATCTAATGTAGACTAGATTTATCGAAGAAGTTGGATAATAAAAAATTTTTTATATTGAAAAAAACACGTTTCAGATAGAAATAATTTAATTAAAGCAAGATCGAATAATCGGGTGTCGGATAATCGAGGTTCTATTGCAATACACTCCCATATTTGGCGTTGTACACAGGTGCATTCAACTTATTATGTTGGTCTGATAGCTTGGCCGAATCGGTGATTCCGGGTCAACTCCTGCGTATCCCGGTGCAGTTCGGGAATGGGAAGGTTTTGGTAGGCAGATGCCTGGTTGATGTTGGTGAAGGTTGGGTTCCGGCGGCTGATCATGCTTGGTCAGGGCTTGCTGGGCCTAACTGGAGCTGCATCCCCAGATCATCCAAATCTAACATACCCAGGTGACTCGGGCCCTGGGCGTCTTCTCCTACCGTGACGGTGGAACCGGGGACTAGTCTCCTGACCCGAGCGGAAACCGGAGCATAGAATCGGTTAGGGGCAAAGTAAAGATTTTCCCTTCCAATGAAAAACAAAAAAAGATGCATTCGATTTATGACCGATGCTCCAAAGCGTTAATTACAAGAAGGTCTCAGTTATGTTCCTTAGTAGCATCTTTCTCACCTTAAAATTTCTATTGTACCGACCTCAATCAAGTTCGGCCGTAGCTCCAGCATCCTCTTAAGTGTGCTAATAAAAACAATGTTAATAAAAATAAAATAAATTGTTATATAATTATAATTAAATAAATAAAATACAATTTTAAACTTACTGTATGCATATAGATGAAACATTAAAAAATAATTTTGTCGTCAGTTATCAAATTCCAATGTGATTGCAATTTTATATTTGATAACTTAATCATCCCTTTAGCGGTTGGACTTGTATGAGTATAGTAAGTTTCAATAGTATTTTATTTATATTTGACTATGATAACTATGATTAACCAAATTAAATCATTTTGCTTTTTTATATTATAATTTTTTAAGTCTTATTGACTTTACATTTGCCATTACACACACACGCGCGCGCGCGCGCGCACGCACACCACATACACACATCACAATACACACACATACACACACACAATAATATTTCTTTCAATTAAACTATTTAAAATATCTCTATTGTTTTTAATAACAATGACAAAATATTAAACAGAGGTTTCTTAAATCACTAAACGAATAACGAGCAATAATATATATTATTATAACTATAATACATAACAATTTATTATCCAAGCATACAATTAAATACGACTAACTTAATTTTCTTCAGTTTAAACAATATCTAATCTAACTCATAAAAGTAATTGAAAAGTTATTTAGTAATCAAAACAAATTTACATCAAACACCTTTCTAAACTTGCATTTAATTTTACAGTTGTAAAAAAGTACATGAAATTAGATCCAAATAATAGATACAAATTATTTTGGAATTTGAATTAAGATCAAAATAACGTTACTCCATCCCCCCAAAACATAGAAGTCGGTTTGTTTTTGATTATTAATTTTTAGAAGAAAGTAAATACATGATTTTAAAAAATTTACGTTATAATATACCTATATTTTTATATATAATATTAAAAAAACATATTATTTTTGAATTTATTATTGATTTCATGCTTATTATTTAAAAGATTTCAAGAACATCTCTCTATCCGTTTATATAAAATTATATGATTTTTTTACACAACAATTGTTTAGCTATTCTGTACAAGTATCAAAATAAAATTATTAGAAAATTAATAGTTTATTCGATATAATTTTATGCTCTGCCCTAGCAAGTAAACCACTGCCAACATGTAAACGTATACTAGTATTTTTCTTTGTATACATCTTTATACATAATTTTATTTTTCTTTGATTATCGTTACAGGCTGCGTATTATCATTACTTTACTGATCTTGTATTGTATATTATTTTTATTCAATATTTGGTGAACAACAAGGGTAAAAAAATAAACAAAAACAGTTGGATAACGTTTTTGAACATAGCCCTAATGGTTTCAATGTTACTCGTGATGTTTTATTGAAAATTCTGTGATAAAGAGTAACTGAAAAGTATTTTTTAGAGTCACTAATTTGTAACGATAACTAATTAGCTTTTAAGATGTGGTGGACCTCGCTTCACGGAAAGTCGACTGCCTGTGAGCAGAGGAAAAGTGGAACATGGACCTCGTTTCGCATGGAAAGTCATTATGCAAGGATAGTTCTTAACATTGTACGTATGCAAATAAGATGTTATTTATTTAATTTTTGTTGTTAATAACTTTTAAACCATTAATGACCAATGCGATAAAACTTGTCTGAGGTTATTCAAGATCATGACTTCGATCGAGCGTCAGGCGATTACCTGCTAAATCACTTATAAATAAATACGTTAACTTTTGAATATTAAATAATATTCAATAATAAAATTTAAAGAACATATTTTTCAGATTTTACTATAAAAACATGAAAAAAATTTTACTTTTTTTTATCTTTAATATCTCTGTTTTATGTATAAAATTTAATAATAGTACAGCAGATCAATTAAAATTTTTGTGCTATTCGTGAATCTCGTACAATAGTATATTTATTTAATTTTTGTCATTAAACAAATTACTGTAAAAAAATCATCTAATAATATAATGATAAAATAATAGACTTTACTAATAAATTTATGTGTTCTGTGTGTAAAACGATTATAAGATATAACAAATTTTTATCTTGCACAAAAACAAAAATTAATTAATTAATTACGTAAAGATACCAAGCACCCTCCAATGATTTCAATCTTGACACATGCTGTAAGATCTTTTGTTTTCGAGTTACAAGATTTTAGTTGACGTTCATTATTGTGTTCATTAAAAAGTTATTAAGTAAAATTTCTTTAGTATATATAAAATTATAATAGATGTATATATATATATATATTAGTAATAAATAATATCAAAGTTCTTTATTTTAATTTTTGTATAATGTTATACTGTTAAATTACAATCTACTATTGAAGAGTATATTATAATTGTAAATAATTATTAAAGAATTAAAGTAACTTTCTGTTTTTTTAATATTAATAATAATTAAGAAAGTAATTTCAGATTACATTAATTACAAAAAATATGAAAAAATTTTAGTAATTTATTAATGCCTGTATATCAGTACAACATTGTAACTTTGCAAGTTTGACCTATAATTAGAACACAACCTATAATTAAGATCGTTACGTTATATAATCTTTCAATGACATACATGTTAATATACAATATTCATTCGCGATAACGAAAATGACTGCTTTTAAAAGTATAGCAATAGTAATTTAATACTATAATTTTCGCATAATTTCAAAAAATGATAAGATATAGCATTCCCTTTATAAGGGAGTTTATAATAAGTCAAAGGCACAACAAAATATTTCAATCGCTAATTGACTTTACTCGAAGAGAAGGAATACCACTTCATAGAGAGAAACTTAGAATTTTTATATTATAAGTATAAAACGCGTTGAACTTATCATACTGTAACCATGAAGGCATTCTACGTTCTTCTGTTGTTCACCCTCATCGGAATCGTTTTTGCAAAATCTGTATGTATTTATTAATATATTGTAAAAGTACATCACAGAGTGATACATAATAATTTTAAAGAAATTTTATTTTAAACGTTTCACATATTATTGCATTGTTCCAATCAACTTATCAAAAGAAAATAATATCATGCAAAGTACATAAAGATATATTTTTCTTATTTCAAATTTAAAATTTAAGAGTGTAATATATCTCCAGGATAGAATTCGTACACTTATTCATTTTAACTTATCAAAAATAACATTCTTCTAAATAACGTTTATAATACATCGAAGACCTAATGTTATAATGGCACGTCAACAATTGTCAATTGCAGTAAAAAATATGATATTAAAATACTAGATAATTCTAGATGCTTAATCTATAGAGCGAAAATGTTAGATCAGGATTTATTTATTAGAATTTATAATTTATTTAACAAACTTGATATTTAACAAACTGATAAATGTTTTGTGCTTGAAATTGTCAGTTAAATTAATTATTATTAAATTTTTTTGATTCAGTCTTTAATTCTTTTTTTAATTAGACTTTCGATCGAGTAAAAGAACCACCTAAACCTCCAAAGCCTCCTATTGACCCTCATGACCCTCATGATCATCATGGCGGTGGAAACGGCGATGGAAACGGCGGTGGAAACGGCGGTGGAAACGGCGGTGGAAACGGCGGTGGAAACGGCGGTGGAAACGGCGGTGAAAACGGCGGTGGTAACGGCGGTGGTAACGGCGGTGGTAACGGCGGTGGTAACGGCGGTGGTAATGGTGGAGGTGGAGGTGGAGGTGGAGGTGGAGGTGGAGGTGGAGGCGTAGGACTAATAGATGCTGTTTTGGTAAGAATTATATAAAAAGAAATTAAATAAAATTTATATTTATTAGAATTATAATATAGAATATAATAAGAATATAATAAAAAATATTCTAAAGAGAGATAAAAGAGTACACATAAATAAAAATGTTTTATTATACTATCAGTTTACTTAATCTACTATCTTACTATCAGTTTAATTAATAAGAATTAATTATATCCAAGATAATCCATGATTTATGAAATATGTAGTAAAAAGTGTATATTTAGTAAAATATGTCTATCTTTGAAAGTAATATTAAAAACTTGTATTTCTGCGACATGCGCGAATATATAAAAATTAAAATATCATGAAATTTTAGAAGTTTAAAACAATCTTAATAATTATGAAATTTTATTAATTATTTATTAAAATTAATATTTTGGACTAAACATTTTAAAAATAAGTAAATAAAATTATGTAATTTATATATACTATTAATAGAATTAAATTAAGTTCTTTTATCATTACAACTTATAAAGAATTCTTTGAATGTTGCAGTTGTTAGTATGCACTTTATTACAACCATTACTAGAGAGTATAAGTCTAGGTGGGCTTTGTCCATGAGTCTGTGAAAGGAAAAATGAAATACACACTATGTAAGTTATAAATACGATCTCCAAACGTTAAACGTTCACTTATAACAGATCTTTAGTAGTATTTTAATAATTTCTAGAGTTTCGTATATATAGATGGTTTATTTTCTTACAGAAAGATAACTTCGATTTTCGACATCGTAACAACATTGTTATGACACATTTTATTTATTAATTATCATCATTATTATTGCACATATAACTGGAATGTACTGTGTCTCTTTTTAAACATGTTTAATTTTTAAGGCAACAAGTATTGCATACATTTTTTGCACTTCTAATAAATAATATATTGAGCAACTAGATTCTGTTGTAAAATTATTTTAAATATTACATAATTTGAAAAAATACTATGCATGTCACATGTATAATATCAATTACCTAATAATGACTTTGCTTTAGGACTCTTTGTTTGAACAATGTTGCGATGAAAAGTTTTTTAACACACGTATTGTCCAATAATTACACTAATATATAAGTGTCAAAATGTCAATGTATAAACTATTGCTTTTTCTTTTTTACTTGTTTAAATTGTTACCTAAAATAAGAATGACAGAAAAATAAGCGTACTATATTATAGTTGGATCAGAAATAATGTCAAGATAATGTAAAGAATTCCACAAAGTCGCGAACATTATCACCAATTTAAAATGCAACAAACGACAAATAAAACGTTTTGCCTTTAAAAATAAATTTATAAGATCGTATGTGTTAAAAATAAATATAAAGAGTGTTTTGGATTCAGGTACACATCGGTGTGCGTATACGTCATAGAATTTGTAAATATTATATATAGATAAAATAGTTTATGTATGGGTAGATCTTTAATTTATAACACTTATTAGATAGAAATGTTTATACAATTTTTACAAGTAAAAACTTCTTCTGTTACGCACGATCTTTTTTATAAATTGCATTTTTATTGATAATTCCAAAAAAGATGATTTCTCATGTAAAAAATAATTGTTTACCTAATGCTAATTGTAGCAGTGTAAGAAAAGGACATGAAAGCCAACACTTTTTCTTATTACAAAACTGATTTATTTTATCACATTCCATCAAAATAACAAATTAGACATTTTGACGTTTATTCAGTTATATATATAATATAATATTTTCCGTATTTAAATTACAATTAAAACTACACAATATAAAAATTTCGATTAAGGTGATGCTGGAGATTTTTCTTTTTACATTAATAATTCACAAATGTTTAGCGAGGCATAGTCGATTTTAGCCATATAAAAAAATTAACGTTAATTATTAGAAGTTATCCTTCAGAGAATGCTAAAGCTGTCTGTATAATCGATTAAACTAGCCTTTTTGACGTTTTCGTTTCTGTCTAATTTCTTCATAACAGTTTCACAGAATAAAAATTCCTTTTCCACGATTAAATATTCATGCTAATATATCTACCCCTGGTCTATATTGTGTCCAAAGCTGGAAAAAATATGAAATTACAGATTTCTTTATCCATTTTTATCTTCAGCGTTGGTCGCCATATTGTTAAATGGATAAAGAAATCTATGATTTCATACTTTTTTCAGCTTTGGACACAAAATACACCAAGAGCAGATATATTAGCCTAAATATTTAAATCGTGGAGAAGAAATTTTTATTTTGCGAAGCTATTATGAAGAAATTAGACAGGAACGGAAACATCAAAAACGCTAGTTTTATCGATAATATAGACAGCTCTAGCATCTTCTGAAGGATAACTTCTAATAATTAACGTTAATTTTTTTATATAGCCAAAATCGACTATGCCTCGCTAAGCATTTGTGAATTATTAATGTAAAAAGAAACTATTAGAAATGTTTTATTATTGTAAAAATTATTTAGGTAATTATTGTAAGAATTATCAGGTAATTTTAACTTAAACGAATGTATTTGACACCTATGTACTGTAACTAATCATTTCTCTTTTTATCAACCAACAGTTCTATGTCACCTACACGTTATCTCCTTATATGCATGCTTGACTGCGTGTATGTGCATGTAAAAGTATATATTTTAGGTAGAGAAAAAAGTTGAAGTTATTCGAATGTATGTATTATATATGTATACATATGTATGAATTTTAGTTGTGATTATGAATGTGTATAATCATTATTTTGAGTATATACACGTTTTAATTATTAATTTAATTTTTCCAACCCGTATATTTAGCATTATCTAAGATTAATCGTGCTTTTCCTTAAATAACTTCTATTGATAAATACATTAAGTTTTATCATATTATACAACATTGGAAGAATGTAATCGTTAGTATAAATGTAAATCGTAATTTGTGAAGATAGGAATTCGAATAATTACAAAACTAAAGTCAAATTTTAGATACGCACTTTGATATGTTTGGCATATTACATAATGGTCATTATTTTACATGTCTTTCGAAATTAAGCAATCTTTTTTGAAACATTTTTGGGAGAAATGCATTATTTTATTATTATACAAATGAGATATATATATCTCTTTTATAAGAGTTATCGTTATTTAATATTTTGAGCAATTATTTTTTACATACAAAATCTTTTAATATTTCAAATCAAAATTCAAAATATAAAAAAATTAACGTATGACACTTGAAGAAGTTTACGTATGTATAGGTTGTAGATGGTCACATATCAATCGATCACGATATAAATTATAAATATATTTAATTCTCTAATTCTTATTTATCGAGCAATTTATCAGCAAAAGACATAAAAAAAAATTGGTTTTCTTGTTTTGGAGTGAATATCATTTAATCCATGAAAGATATAAGAAATGCTTTAGATAAAAGTTTTACAATAGTATTTCAAGTGCACTTTATATCAGTATATATAAATTTCATAAAAATATTATATTTTTCAATATACTCTCTTCGATTCGATCTTTAATTCTTAAAAATTTTTTATTTTTAGAAGAACATAAAAATTAAAAAGCATTTTACGCTGAAAACACAATTTATGATATCATTATATATTCTCTCTCTCCAAAAATTCATTTTTTTAAATACAAGTAAGGGAAATATCTCATTTTATTCGTGTTTCTATACATATTTGTCTCATATCGGTATAAGTTTGTTAGGGGTTATATACGTTTAAAATTTTCAAAAAATCGATTTTTCAAAAATGATATTTTCTAAAAGTAGGTATTTAGAATATTTCCTGAAAGTTTTAAATAGATCCGACAAATATTTCCAGAGATACAGGCTGTTGTGTACAATGTACTTGCGTCCGACAGCGTTTCGACCGTTGCATGGTCTCACTGTGCGCACACTCGATTATAGTGCGGCCTAATGCGCTTTTTTGGGACAAAAATATAAATTCATACACAAATAGTAAAATAAATATATTTACAATATAAAAAAAAATTCACTTTATTATAAATCTAAATTTTTCATATCGACAATGAAACTATTAGGGTTTGAAAGTTCGTGGTTTGTGCTCACTTCCATGTCGCACGCGAAAAATTGCTAAGTAGAAGTTGTGTGTTGAAAATCGTCATGAAATTAGTTGGGTGTAATTTTGCAACTAATTACATGACGATCGCCAACACACAACTCCTACTTAATAATTTGCGCGCGACACGGAAGTGAGTACAAACGGCTCGCAAACAAAGATATATTAAAACTTTGGAAGCTGCTGCTGCTGCAGAAGAGCTGTTATATGGACTTGGAATAGATGACACTATGTAAGTAAAACCCAAATTTTTTTAAATACATTTTCTCTGGTTTTAAACTTTAAACGCGTTTTTCTCAAAACTACATTTTTAAAGTCGGTGAGCAAGATA